AGAGAAAGAACTTCTCTATGATCCATTCAGAAACTCTAAAAGTATGGGGTGACTTACTTGAGACACACCCCCATTACCTAAAGTATAATAGGCAAACACCCCCATATCACTGAGTCAGTAGTTAGATTCAAATTAGTAGTTAGGAGCACACAGAAGAAAAGTACAGAGCCGAGCTGACTCCACTCAAAAAGGGTTCTCTAACATCTGAAACCTGGAGTTTTTTTACTTTATGCGTGTTTCGAGCGTATCGCGCAGAGTAATACACGCGCACAATCACGACCGTAAATTTCAATTTTTTCAATACCCACACGAAAAATGCTTAAAATTTCTACTTTCAAATTCATAACATGAATAAAACCTACTATGTCCGTGTAGCTACGCTATTATTCAATACAACTGTCTAGAAATAAAATACACAAGATGAACTATGAATACCGACATCGTTGTTCCAAATACATCGATTCTGGAAGCCACCTTAAAAGTTAACTAATTTTTCAACTGTGGTTTTTTGACTTGACCACCCCTATTTCAACAATAAATGTGCCCATCTTGCCATCGAACACTGTTTGAAAAAACTTTACTACACCAAAGCTAATATAGTTCCCGATCTGCTGTTTATTTTTTTTGAAAATCGGAAAATTTTAAGTGCTCAAAAATCGGGATTTTAACACGTCTGTCGACAAAAAAACAAGTTATAATCCTTGTTGATACAAAAAAAATGAATAGATAATAGACTCGTATATAAATAACAATTACTGAAAAAATCATAAAAATTACGTCATGGCTTCATAAGCACATTTATCATTTAGAGGGCCCGGGTCATTTGGTCGCTCGCGAACTCAGAAAACAAGTTCCAGAATGTGAAACCGTTGGTTTCACGGATGAGTGATTTTGTTTACCGAAATGCAGTCTTCTGATTGGTCCGTGATTCTGCTACGTGACGAAATTGCTGCACTGAACCTTGACTGAACGAAGATTCTACACTGAAGCAAAGAACTTAAATAGCAGAAGAATGAGCTGCTCCGTGTATTTGCATTAAAATCGATGGAACATTCGCCCTCCTGCGGTTGTAGTAAAATTTGAACATTTTACTAAGTGGAGAAACTAAAGAAAACAAGCGAACAAGAGCAGCGCTTTTATTATTTTTATATAGCGCCGTCGCGCGGTTGCAGTAAAATTGCTCTCCGTACTTTCGAATTCATAACATGAATAAAACCTACTACTATGTCTGTGTAGCTACGCTATTATTCAATACAACTGTCTAGAAATAAAATACACAAGATGAACTATGAATACCGACATTGTTGTTCCAAATACATCGATTCTGGGAGCCACCTTAAAAGTTCACTCATTTTTTAACTGTGGTCGTGGTTTTTTGACTTGACCACCCCTATTTCAACAATAAATGTGCCCATCTTGCCATCGAACACTGTTTAAAAAAACTTTACTACGCCAAAGCTAATATAGTTCCCGATCTGCTGTTTATTTTTTTTGAAAATCGGAAAATTTTAAGTGCTCAAAAATCGGGATTTTAACATGTCTGTCGACAAAAAAACAAGTTATAATCCTTGTTGATACAAAAAAAATGAAGATAATAGACTCGTATATAAATAACAATTACTGAAAAAATCATAAAAATTACGTCATGGCTTCATAAGCACATTTATCATTTCGAGGGCCCGGGTCATTTGGTCGCTCGCGAACTCAGAAAACAAGTTCCAGAATGTGAAAGAGTGATTTTGTTTACCGAAATGCAGTCTTCTGATTGGTCCGTGATTCCTGCTACGTGACGAAATTGTTGCACTGAACCTTGACTGAACGAAGATTCTACACTGAAGCAAAGAACTTAAATAGCAGAAGAATGAGCTGCTCCGTGTATTTGCATTAAAATCGATGGAACATTCGCCCTCCTGCGGTTGTAGTAAAATTTGAACATTTTACTAAGTGGAGAAACTAAAGAAAACAAGCGAACAAGAGCAGCGCTTTTATTATTTTTATATAGCGCCACCGCGAGGTTGCAGTAAAATTGCTCTCCGTGTACCCACAATGCATTTTGAACGGATGTTCCACTATATTGGGAAGCTGCTCTATCTTCTGCTATTTATTATCTTTGACTGAAGGCAGTTGGTTTCAAACTCTGTACAGTATTTCGTAAGTTAATACACTTTTTAATAATATATAAACAATCATTATTAGTTTATTTTATATCTTGAAATTATGGACTATTCTGATTTTGACAATAACTTTACTTTCCTGAGCAATTTGCCTGTAGATAAATCGTTATTTTTCATTTATTTAGAGGGTGATAATTTTGTTAGGCCTAGGCCGTTTGTTCGTTTGCATTTTTCGTTAGAATAGTTAAAATATTAAAAGTGCAAGATAGTGAAATAAATTCTTTAGTTAAATCAATTAAGAATAAAGAAAAAAGGATAAAACAAAATAATCAAAAATTAAGAGAAAAATTAAAAACTAAATCTAAGTTAATAAAAGAACAGAACAAAAAGACAATACAATTAAATAAACTAAAAATACAAAATAAAAAGCATAAAAAACAGGTAGAAGAAAGAGAAGACCAGAGGCTAGAGATGGAAGAGAGGATATGTGCAATAACAACGGATCAACAAATCAATGTATTTTCAAAGGGGAAGTATAGCAATGCTATAAGGGATGTTTACGTCGATTTGTTGAAAATGAGAGTTGGTATAAATAATGTAGGTAAGATTGTTCAAACTGTTTTAAAAAAACTTTTGGGGATGAAGGCATCTTGTTTGCCTCAGAAGTCTTTGGCAAGCGAGATGTTCCTTGAGGCTCGAGCATTGGCCCATTTACATATTGTAGATGAAATTGTAGATTTAGTTCGTAGGCCAGAGGAGGTTTCCAACACATTGTGTAGTGATGGTACCTCTAAACTGGGCCATCACTATATGGCTTACGACCTAAACTTAGAAGATGGCTGTGCTTTAATGCTCGGGCTAAGAGGAACACCAAGTGGTACAGCCGAATCAACCTTGGATGCATTAAAAGATGAGGTTGTAAGTATTGATAGTCGGGGGCGAGAAGGAGTGCAAAATTTTGTGGCCAAATTTTGTGTTGCGCATCTGTCACTCATGGTATTTTTCAGACTTTTGGAAGATTATAGGGAAGAAATTTTGCCTGATGTAATTGAGGGTTGGGGGGACTTATCTGAAACAGAGCAAATCAAAGTGGCCAAATTAGATAATTATTTTTGTGGCCTTCATTTTCTTGTTGGTCTTGCGGATCAGGCAGATGCGAGTTTGTGTGTGTGGGAAAGACTTGTGCTGGGTGATGAGAAGAGGGGTGCAGAGAGACTGGTATCGTTGAATGTGAAGAGTGGTGAGAAGTCTTTGGCAAGCGAGATGTTCCTTGAGGCTCGAGCATTGGCCCATCTACATATTGTAGATGAAGTTGTAGATTTAGATCGTAGGCCAGAGGAGGTTTCCAACACATTGTGTAGTGATGGTACCTCTAAACTGGGCCATCACTATATGGCTTACGACCTAAACTTAGAAGATGGCTGTGCTTTAATGCTCGGGCTAAGAGGAACACCAAGTGGTACAGCCGAATCAACCTTGGATGCATTAAAGGACATAGTGAATGAGGTTGTAAGTATTGATAGTCGGGGGCGAGAAGGAGTGCAAAATTTGGTGGCCACTTTGAAAAATACCATGAGTGACAGATGCGCAACACAAAAAAAATTTAACAGACTTTTGGAAGATTATAGGGAAGAAATTTTGCCTGATGTAATTGAGGGTTGGGGGGACTTATCTGAAACAGAGCAAATCAAAGTGGCCAAATTAGATAATTATTTTTGTGGCCTTCATTTCTTTGTTGGCGAGTTTGTGTGTGTGGGAAAGACTTGTGCTGGGTGATGAGAAGAGGGGTGCAGAGAGACTGGTATCGTTGAATGTGAAGAGTGGTGAGAGTGGTGCTGTGCGCCTGATCCGCACTGTATGTAAGAGTGTGCAAGAGAGAGCGTGTGAGAAGAGTGGTAAGCCGGTGCAGTTTAGAGCGTTCTTGGCGAGTGAAAGAGGTAGGAAGAAGGTTCCCCTCCCTCCTTTCAAGGGAAATAGGTTTAATATTATTTTCCATAATGGAGCATGGGTATATGCCCTCCTTGAAGATCTGCGGATCTTCTTTGAGAGGGTAAAGAATGACAACCTTCTTCTGGGTGCTGTTCATGCGGATGTTGGAGTTTCTCTTTTCATCTGTGGAGCTCGCGCCCTAGGTTTGATTGACAAGTATGTAACGGGACCCCTTTGGAAGGTGACAGAAGGTGCTCTGCATGTGCAAGAATTGAGTGCGAGATATGAGAGAATGCTTAACTGCTTTACACGGTGGACAAATGATGCTTCTGGATTTTTGAGAGGTGAGGAGCAATTGTTTGAGGATGTGCCTGTGAGAAATGATGAAGTGTTGGAGATGCTGCTGAAGGAGAGTGAAGAGTGTGATGCTGGGACCATTCAGGCATTGGAGATATTGTTTGCCTCTTTTCAAAAAGTCACACAGAGATTATTGCCTGATTTTTTGGAAGGAGGTGAACATTATCAAATGCCTGAGAGAGACGTAGTTTCAACTTCAAGTGTGCCAATACTTCTAATGTAGGTGTAGTGCATGATTTTGGCATGCTTGAAAGAGTTATGTCTCAAAAACCACGAGCTTCTTTGATTGCATGTGAAGCAGTTATGCTTTTGAAGAAGAATGACGTAGGGAAATGGAGAGATAGTTTGAGTCCAGAGAGATATGCTCGTGTGATGGAGATTTGTGTGAAGTCAAAACGTAACTAAAGGCTTCGAGCTCTAGAGAGGAAGGCTGAACTCCAACATGCTCATGAACAACGAGTGACGGAGAAGCGTGTCGAGAGACAAAGGATGTGAAGGAGCGAGTGAGAAAGGAGAAGTTGACGACAGAGTTGAATGATAGTGGAGGATTGTGGACGAGCGTGACTGAGATGGATGAGTGGATGGATGGGAGGAGTGATAGAGAGATTAAGAACGCAGTCATGGCCCAGTTACGCTTTAGGAAATTTATTATTTGTAATTTTAATAAAAACGGCATCTTAAATTTTTCGGAAAAGGGTAAGACACATTGTGTGAGAGTTTTAATAAATAATCTTAAGAGTGTGATAGATAATGCGCGTTTGGAGGAGGTAGCGACACGGCCCTGATAAGGCAAAGAGCTTCTTTGATTGCATGTGAAGCAGTTATGCTTTTGAAGAAGAATGACGTAGGGAAATGGAGAGATAGTTTGAGTCCAGAGAGATATGCTCGTGTGATGGAGATTTGTGTGAAGTCAAAACGTAACCAAAGGCTTCGAGCTCTAGAGAGGAAGGCTGAACTCCAACATGCTCATGAACAACGAGTGACAGGAGAAGCGTGTTGAGAGAGAGACAAAGGATGTGAAGGAGCGAGTGAGAAAGGAGAAGTTGACGACAGAGTTGAATGATAGTGGAGGATTGTGGACGAGCGTGACTGAGATGGATGAGTGGATGGATGGGAGGAGTGATGGAGAGATTAAGAATGCAGTCATGGCCCAGTTACGCTTTAGGAAATTTATTATTTGTAATTGTAATAAAAACGGCATCTTAAATTTTTCGGAAAAGGGTAGGACACATTGTGTGAGAGTTTTAATTAATAATCTTAAAGAGTGTGATAGATAATGCGCGTTTGGAGGAGGTAGCGACAGAGGATGTACAGGATGAAGTGAGTGAGTGTGTTACGGTTGATGCTGATGAATTGAGAGGATTGAAGGAGAAGTTTGTGAATGAAGCTGCGAGAGAGAAAGAGAAGGTTGAGGCAGCTGAACCAGCCCCAAAGAGAATGAAAGTAAGAAAGATTTCAGATGCTAATCACTTACAAGGTAAGTATATAGAACATTATTCAATGAATGAAGGGGATGATTGTGCAAAATGGTACCCAGCTTATGTTTCTTTAGTTAAGGGTCGTTGGGTTTATATAAATTATGTTAATGGGGAAGAATTTAAGTTTAGTTTATCAGAAATTAAAAATGATTTATTGAAAAAAGAGTTAATTGTTCCAGATATTAATGTAGATTTTTTTGTAGGGAAAAAGATTATTCATTTTTGGGACACACATGATGGGGAAAGGACAGGATTAAAGGGAAGGGTTATTAGTTTAAGTGATAAGGTAGGGTTTTGTTTAGTATATTATTTTGATGTGAATAGGGAGCTAGCTGATGATGATGATGACTATGATGATGATGATGATGGTGGTGGTGATGATGTTGATGAGAGTAGTGTGTATGAGTTAAATGTGGTTGAGGAATATTGGTTGAACAATGTACATTTCTTTTAGGTTTGAGTTTTTTTTGTTTTTTTTTTGTTACTAGTCCTACATTTTGTTGAGTAACGCGACATTCCACAGTATTTTTTTGTCACGGACATTACATTTTTAGAGAATTTAAAACGCTATATCTAGTAAACTAGTCAAGGGAAACACTTTATTTTAAAATTTGACCCAAGAAAGTATATCTTTTTTATTTGGAAATTCAACAAAATAAAATTACAAAAGGTATACCGGTTTTTGAATTGGCTACCAGCTCCATCTGACCATTTGCTTTTAGTTTTCTGCAACGTATGTCGCAATTACTGTGGAATGCCCCTATCAATGGGTATTCATAAATTGAATTACATCTGCCATTCCTTTATATGTATCTCATGCTTATACTGTAATTAACTAAATAAAACCATTGATTATAGAAATGAAATGAAATGAAATAATTTATATTTTTCCTCCCAAAAAAATTGAATGCAGCTAAAAATGCAATTAATGTGTTGTTACCTATAATTGTACAACATACATATTGTGATAAATATTTTTTTTTTTGACTATTCAAATCAATCAGCTGCAAAATAGTTTCTGAATGCTGTGTACTGCACATGTGGAACTGCCCCATTACAAACCCTGACTTCAGTTGTATGTTAATGATGTCACTATTAATCAAATGACTTTTTGCAAAATGTAGATTTTACTGTACCTATTCAATTTCTTTATTTTTTCCATATTGCACAGTCATCCAGGTTAACATCTGAAATTTTACTAAGGGCGTGCTATACCAAAACCAGCATTTTATAAGCTTTGAAATAATGATTGTTTTACTAAAGTCAAATACTTTCAAAGTTGTTTGACTTATTGCCACATTCTTTGGCTAATTACTCAGTTCTTGATGATGACATAATTAATGTTGAAATACTGAATCCCAACACGACGGTGTGCACTTCAGTACTAAAATCATATTACTGTATGTACTATTTCTTCTGAGATTAATTGCAGTGGACCTTTTGGTTACTTAGTTTAGCTATGCATATAGCAACACTATGCTGGTTTTGGTATGTCTTGCCTCTATAGACAATTCCACCAATATGCCAAAGAGTAAAATATAAAAAAAAAACAAAAAAAAAACTTACATATATAGTTTTTCTAAAATATTTATCATCTTTAATTCTGTCTCTTATACACATCTAGATGTGTATAAGAGACAGGCTTTAAGGTGAGTCATTTATTGGAGATGACTATTCTAAAAGTTATGAGAAAAGAATTATGGCTTCTCTACTAAAATAACAATACTGTCATATTCTTATTCTCGCTTTCATTAGCCAAATAGTCAATTCCTAATAAAGCTGAATTGTGCTAAATATTTGTATTTTAAATTAGCCAAAAAAAAAACTTGAATCATAATTATGTTAACCTTTACTTTACATGACAAACTGTTGTGTTTTCCATTAATTAATGATCTGTAAGTCAAAGTTTAAGAGTAGACAGATACGTTTCATTGCCTTGATTTTTGGAAAGCAAGTTTAATTGTATTTGCAGATAGCAATCAATATTTTTAGGTTTAAGCCTGTCAACTGGTGGAATTGCCTTGTTTTATTTTCATTCTCATGGTGCCCAGATAATAGGAGGTGTTCTGTTTTGTTATTATGAGTTTTCGTCTAAATGTTTCTTGTTTGTGATGTATTATCTATTTTGTTTATGTGGAGCTCTGGGCACCATTGGTTCCTCAATATTGTCTACATAGGGTAATTTGAAATCTGTGAACATATTCTTTGCCAATTTATATATATTTTTTTCCACATTTTTTTTCCTCCTGCTCCCATTGATTATTCCAGGTTTCATTTACTCTTCATTTATACCACTTCCATTATTCAATACTGCAGTACCTTAAAATGATAAAATACAGTAGAAACAAATATACATGCCATGGCTGGAAAAAGTGCACAACCCTTTTTTTTTCCCCAGACCTGAAAAATTACATCCAAAACAAGACCAAATGTATGCTGAAATAAATGTGATTTTTTATCTATTTGCTATCCTCTGATTTCCCGTCGATTTATAATCCGGCAGGACTGGGGAGGAACAACTTGATGTTGTGCTCCACTACAGACATCGCAGAAACCTTAACAATGAAAGCCTAACTAAAGTTGGCGACATTGGCATGAAACTAACTGACTTCGGCTTTGAATATGAAGATTGAAATGTTTACGACAGTTTCAGGCTTAGTAGGCTAATAAAAGCTGAATTTTGCTAAATATTTTCATTCTAAATTAGTCTTGGGTTCATTCCTGATATGTTTTTCTAAAATATTTATCATCTTTAATTATCACCAGTTTAGGCCTGGTGGAGATGGTATTACCATATCCAAGTACTTTCATGAAGATTTGGGTTTATTCATTAGACGTTGATGCATACGAGTACTAGTGTATATGAAAATTTTCCGACTGTACCCAGCCATCATATTTTAGTACTGCAGTATTGAATAATCCATTGTTTATCATTAGTGCAACGTACCTCTCTTCCAGTGCAATTTTTAATAAAATTATTTAAATGTTATTTATTATTTTCAATTAAATTTAAACAATATTTATTTAATAATAATAGTAATAATTTTAATAATAATAATAATGATGATAATAATAATAATAATAATAATAATAATAATAATAATAATACAGTAGAAACCCTCAATTACGAACCATGATTTAACAAATTGCCAATTTTAAGATAGTAAAATCAAGGTGATTACGTCATAAAAAGTGAAGTGAAAAGTGAGAGAAAAATAATAATAAACAAATCCGCTCCAATTTTAACTGTTATTAGCATGCATGCAACACAACATACCGTACTACACAGTACTATGTAATCCTCAAGTGAAGGAGGCCTTTTAACAGGCCTCTTCAAATTCAGTGTTTATTATGGCTTCACACATGTGCATGCAACAAATTTTGCTTCTTTTTAATCAGCATTAAAAGTCAATGTAGTGCTTGATTGTTTTATTGTATGATCAATATAGATAATATACATGTATCTATGGAAGTTGTGTTGGAGTCAAATCCACAATCTAGGTATTTAAAAAGGTAAAAATGTCTGATTAAGTACAAATTTGTGTGGGGCCTAGAGTGGAACCATAATGGTTAGAAACTGCTTTCTGTAGGCGTGGACCTAGCCTAGGCCTAGTTTATGCCAGTGTAAGTAGTACCAGTGCAAATATATAGGAATTACGAACGGCTCTGGGCCTGTGCCGTACGCAATTGAGGGGTTCTACTGTAATAATAATAATAATAATAATAATAATACACAACTAAATATTTAAGCGAAATACTGCATATGGCTTCTATTTATGTTTTTTTGATTGTTTCTTGGGGAAATACACTTATTGTATGAAGAAAAAGGTTTAAAAAAGTAAGTCATTTATATGAACATTAGGAGGATTCAAATATGTCTAACGTGTTTATCTTTTAAATCTTTACAGCTTAAGTTCTTAAGGATGTGGTAAGTATCAAAACCAGTGGTGGCGCCACAAATTTTCCGACGGGTCCGAACAAAGGAACAATAAATAAAAAAAACAGCAAGTTTTTATAGCTGAACATGGTCAATGCTGATTGTGCTTTAGACTACAATATTAGAGGTTGGCAATCAAAATAATGTTATGTTGGGCCACCCAGCCTTGAAGTTTTCCACCCAGTCTAATGCTCATTTCATGTTATACACATCTAGATGTGTATAAGAGACAGGTATAAGACTAGAACCCCTTCCCCACTGGTGCCATCACTGGTCAAAACATAGCATGTTTTAATCATTTCATTTTAACTAATCTTCACTAAATTTCTGGGATATCCACACAACTCCAGTAAAGTGCATTTATGTTTGAGATTATTGCTTGATCTAAATAATTTCATCTTAAAGTTGCACTACATCTGCATTTTTTTGTTTGATTTCCTTTGTAATTTAACATAAATGTTGTACCCTTACCTTACTTTTAGCCAACAGTACAGCACCTTTAATATTAAGGAACTTTTACATCAGAAATGAGTACCAAACCTTTTCTTTTCCAACTTCTTAAAATGCAATTCACATAATCTTCTACCGTTTGCTGCAAATTTCTGCCTTCTCTTTATTCTTTGTCTAAATCCAACCTCCAGCAGTAGAAATTCTGTAACTTTGATACAGGTAATGAGGTAGTTTTTCCTCCTCTTTGCACCACATTCTACCTTAGAAATGGTTAGCGACGAAGCTCTTTCCCTTCTTGCTAAAATACAAATTTTTTTGGGGGGGGGGGGGGGGGGGGGGGGGGGGGGGACACTCTAAACTGAATCAATATCACCTTACATTTTATCCTTAATCCATCTGAGCAACAGCTATGCTAAACCCTACTTGGTTTGCAAATCAGCTATGCCAGATTGGCTATCTCTCATTCATTCTTCATTCTAGCTGCAGTTTTAAATTTATTGATTTCAGCCCTATACCAAAGATTTATGATTCATTTTAATCTTGTCAGGATTGTATAAAAACTTCACCATTCTTTGTCAAGCATGGTTAAACATTTTTTGGTTGTGGAGCACTGTTATTTTCTTCTTTTTGAGCCTGCTCTCTATTTGAAACTTTCCACTTTTTAATATTTGCAATTGAATGAAAAAAAACAACAAAAAAAACCTTGTTTTGATTGTATGCTTATAACACACAAGTTTACAATTGATTGGCATATCAGAATCTATTCTTTAAACTAATTTGAATGTGTGTTTCAATAGTGTATAGCTTTAAATTGTTACTTTTTAAAATTCGAATGAGATCAATAGGAAACTCATTTTGATATAACAGAAATTTCATTGTGATTCACAGTGAAATTTCTGTTCATCCTGCATGCCTTTGTTTGTGTTCGGTAGAATATAGTCTTTTAATAATTCATATCATTTTAATATAGATAAAAAAAAAAAAATTTATGATAGAAATTTCATTTTGAATTAAAACTTCAAAATAAAATTTCTGTCCATGCTTTCGTTTTGTGTATTCTGTTCTTTCTATCAGAATCTTATATTACATTCAGTAATATATACCTTTAAATTGATAACATTTTAAAATTTGAATGAGATCAATAAAACTCATTTTGATAACAGAAATTTCATTGAAAATCTCAGTGAAAATTCTGTTTATTCTGCATGCCTTTGTGTATGTTAGGTAGAATATAGCCTTTAATTGATAACATTTTAATATAGATAAAAAAAAAATTCTGACAGAAAATTCATTTTGAATTTAAAATTCCAAAATAAAATTTCTGTCCATCATGCACTTGTGTATTTCGTTCTTTCCATTAGAATCTTATATTACGTTCAGTAATATATAGCTTTAAATGAAAACATTTTAAAATTTGAATGAGATCAATAGAACTCATAATTGATAATATTTAAATATAGATTTATGATAGATACTTTATTTTGAATTAAAACTTCAAAATAAAATTTCTGTCCATGCTTTGCTATCATCACCCATTCCTTTAAACTAATGTTAAGTGTGTTTCACTGAGTAATATAGCACTAAATTGTTGCCACTTTCTAATTTGCAATAGAAAACTAACTTTAGTATTATAATTTTCATTTTCATCATACATTTCTTTGTACAATTAAATTGATATTTTGTATTACAGTAGAGTAGAACTTCTGATTGTTTTAAACATTTTAATTTAAATTAAATCTGTACATTTTTAAAATACAGTATTTGCAATAGAAATCTCATTTTCTGCTTTGTTTTGCATCATCCTCTTCCAAATCATTCTAAATAGATTTCTGTGTGTTATGTTATATAAAAAATTGCAAATTGTATTGTTATTGTAATAATTATTTATCTTAAATAATTTTGATTGCTGCATGTGCCATTTGTCAATTTTGAATTTTGTTTTTCACATG